GAGATACCTAAAAATACTTCCAGTTGGTTTTACAACAAAAGGCTAGAGATGACTCTGGAAATTTCAGTGCGTGCTCAGAGGCAGTAAGTAGGTGCCCATGAGACCTGTGTGGGCGGCATATAAGATAAATAAATAAATGATTAAAAGTTCATTTCTCTCTGAGGAACTGGGGAAGGACAGTCTGCACTCTGCACATGCCCAGAGGTCCCATTTTAACACCTATTATCTGGAGATGAGTGTAAGGAATTCTCCACCTAGCCAGCGTTGTCATCATCATCGCCACTGCCACCATCATCCCCACAGCTTAACTAATTAAAATCTTTCCCCAATGGAGCCTGTGCCTTCTCCTCAGATAAGCCCCGCCCCTCCTCCCGCCTTTTACGGGCGGAGCTCCGCCCCCCTACCTCTGTGACGCGCAGGGGCGGGGGAGAAAAGAACGAGGCGTTCCCGCTCGGTTCTGGGTCACGCGGCGCGCCCAGGAGGGAGGGGGAGGGCGGTGGAGTTCTGCGCGTGCGCGCAGGCGGAGCGAGAGGCGGCTCGACGAGGAGCGCGTGCTTGGCCTTGCCGCGCCCACGTCTTTGCTCGAGAGCTCGGAGGATCTGATTGGAGGGCGGGAGAGGAGGGGGCGGAGCCTCGCACCACGCCTTCTTTCCCCCCCCACCCCTCTTTCAATAACGTTGCCTTGCCCTGTTGTAACGGAAGGGAGTAACGGAAAAAGTTACTTCTTGTAGGGGTGCGTGTATGTGCGTGCGTGCGTGTGAGTTTCTGTATATACATCCACAATATTAAAAAAATATTTTCTATAAATAGTTTATTTATGAATGAGAACCAAAGAGCGCCTCAGTCAAGATTTGAGTGGATCTGCCTGAGGGAGGCGGTAAATATAATATAATAGACAGACAACTATATTGTTTTTATATATAACATGTCTAAACAGACCCAAGCAGCACTTTTCTGGACCCGTTTGAGGACTGCAGCTAATTGTTTACTTACGGTAGCCAAGTTTGTAATTTGTGTATGTGGTATATGATATTATATTATATTACAATGAAATGAAATAAAATATATGTGTAGAGACACTGTTGTGTAACAGATACAGTGTTGATCAGTCATGGGAAATTGACTGGCTGGGTAGCAGTGGTTCATCACCAGTGAACCTTTATGGAAGTGCAGTTGTGATGGGACTCAGTTACACCATTATTGTTGGAAAAGGAATTAATCATAGTTAGTTCATGATTCCCAGCCAGTTATTATCAGGTCCAGGTGAAGTGGAAGAAATAAAGGGGGGCTGAGCTCAAAGATGGTGTTGTTGCATTGTAATTTGTTTTGAATATCTGTTAGATAGACCATGGCTAATTTTTTTTTTTTAGAAAAAATGATCCTCAGTTTTGTTTGCCACGTGTAGCCATTCAATATGCATTTTCTGCAACAGTAATATATTTTTCTTTGTTTCTTGCTTTTTTAAATAGTTCTTCTGTCCGGGACTGGATCAGACAATAGGAGCAGATTCTAATTAGGAAGAGTGCTGTAGTAAGGACAAAAGATGCAGAGCACAAAGTTAGACAACTTAAAGGGGGGCCTAGAAGATATTCTCAGTGTTGGTGGTCAGCACAGGAAAGTATCTCGGAAAACACGGGTTTCAGATCGTTCTCTCAAGAGTAGAAAGTCAAGAACACCGAGGTCTAAGAAAGAAATTACCCTAAGAGGGAGGGTTTCTGAAATTCTTCAGAATCCTGATGAAGAAAGTAGAGAAGTCCCAAGTGAGGAAGGCCTGCTGACTCTTCCAGACTTCAGTGATGCTTTGGAGAAAAACTGCACGAAACCGCAGGATATCCGAAAATCTCTGGGAGAACACGAGACTTTGCATGACAGAGAAACCGACTCAGACGATCGGAAGGCAGACAGAGCAACCCTGTTACAAGATTCACAAGGGGATGATGCCGTTAGAGATGAAAAAGCATTTCAGTCGAAGACAGACAAAACCAAACCCAGCACCTACGTTTCTCTCTTCGATTTTTCCAAACACCTTTTGGATTCCTGGGAGAAGAATGTTTGGTCAAGATCCGCGCTTGCCTCTGACGCAACACACAGCGAGGAACGAGAGCTCAGGTGGCAGCCAGATGCTTCCACTGTATAAAAGTGCTTCGGGCTTTAATTACTAGACCGGTTTGACGTACTGGCCAGCATCTCCAGCAAAAACCTCATTTTATGAGCTGCTGGGTTGCTCAGTGGTTGAGGCCTCTGGCTGTGGAGCCAGAAGTGAGGAGTTTGATGATCCCACTGGGCCTCCTTGACAGAGGCTGGAGGCCTCCTTGACAGAGGCTGGACCTAACAATCCATAGGGTCCCTTCCAGCTCCACAGTTCTAAGATTAGTATTATATTGTTATCCCCTTCATCCACACCTGGCTGCATGATCGACTGCATGCTCAGGAACACAACCAGCACCTCCTTAACGAGGACCAATTTGCCGCTGGGACTTAAGCAGTTTGCCTTCCGCAAGCTTAAGTTGGCGATAGGATTCTGGCCCTAAATGAAAACGCCAAGTGTTCAATGAAACATTTCAGAATAGGAAACAAATATTAAAAATGAAAGCAGCATAAAACAGAAACAGCAAAACAGACACATCAGAAAAGGGTTTTAAAGATTTTTTTTAAAAAAATATGCTTTTCTTAAGAAAAGGTAGCTCTCTTATTTGTAAGCTGCTTATAGGAAAAGGGGGGGTGAAGATATTGAACTGGCAGGGTGAATTCACGCAGCTGCAGCATGGCAGGTGTGTGCTAAATGCTGGCCAACTTTTTTTTTTTTTTGCCTCTGTAGTTACTCCAGTAATTTTCTGATGCTGTCGCTGATCTGATCAGTGGCAGTGCGATGCAAAGAGTATAGGGAAGAAGTATAGGGAAGACTCAGTCCTGCATCCTTATTGTGGATGGACTTATTTATATATGCATACATACATACAATTATCTCTAGTCCCCAGAGAACATGCTGGTTAAAACAAACTACCTCAATACACCCCCGCCACCACCTGTCTAAAACTGTTATTTCCATTTCACACTTGATTGGGGTATACCTACATTTTTAGATGTCATCCAAAAATAAAGCAAAAACGAGAAAAGGAAGACAAAAACGTTGTGGCAGTTTAAAGGCTAACAGTTATATTTTAACATGAGTCTTTGTGGACAAGCCCACTTCTTCGGTCCACTTCTTGTCTGAAGATGTGGACTTGTCCATGAAAGGTTACGTTAAAATATAACTGTTAGTCTGTAAAGTGCCACAATGTTTTTGTCTTTGTTTGATTTTATTTTATTCATTTTTGCCTTGTTTTAGACTTGATACGTTAGCACAGACGAACACGGCAACCTCCTCTAAAACCTCATATTGAAAGACATAGGGTTCTTTGTTTATTTAATTTTTGTTTTACCCTGCCTTTCTCCTCTAGCTGAATAAAAGATACACTATTAAAAGCTAAAAATAGTAAAGTATTCAAATATGCTTGAAGGCTAAAGAGGTCTTAAAATTTGGTGCTGTCGTCAGACTTGTAACTATGGGTGAAAGGGTGGGGTAGTCTATGAGAGGGAGAGCTAAACAGCCTTGGTGCTTATATGTGACATCTTTTTTATTTTTCTTTTCTGCCCCAGTGTTTGCAGCCTTTCCTGCGTAAAGCATGCTGCAGAACAGCCTGTGAAAAAAACATGTGCTGACGACCCCACTTCAGAGGAAGGACCGCAGGAGGAGACGTTAACTTTTCCTAGGAAAGATACTGGGGAGGAGATCTTGGAAAAGGCCTCCATAACATCTAAACAGGATTTCCTGTGCTGCTGTGAGAGTAGAGAGGGCAAAAGACACGGGAAAAGGTGCAAGACAGAGACCAATTCTGCTTCGGCAAGTGTGCCCGGACCCACCCTGAGCAGAAGCATAAAGACGGACGTAACCATAAAACCGTGTTACGTGGTTTTGGAAGACATTGGCTGCAAAATCAGATCAAAGGGCAAATCTTCTTCCATGCCTCCAGAGGTAAGGATGCGGTCTGCAAGACAACCGAAAGGGAATGGTGATACTTTTAAAAAGTTGCACGCTATCCTAAAGGACATCATGGAGAAGAGCTGTGCCCAAAAGCCGAGGAAGACCCCCTGGATAAAAAAGGCAGAGATGTCGTTGGCAGAGGAGAACATCCGTAAGAAGAAAATTCTTTTGGAACAGAAGTCTGATGAATCACAAAGTTCTGGAACTGCGGGTTCTGGGGGTGAGGATTCTCACCATGAAAAAAAGGGAAGGGAAACCGGCTCTGTGGATATGGTTGACATGTTATGCAATCAAGGTCTTTTTACAAGGTTGTCTTTGGCAAACTCACATGATGACCATCCCGCTGAACCAGGACGGATACATCTCCTATCTACCTCTCCTGGGAAGACACGGGAGGTGGAGAGAAATAACTCTGCAGGTTCATCTGCTACCTTTTCTAGTGGAGCCCATGTCTCCAAAATGTCAGTGGGAGGAATCCGTGTTTCCGCCTCGTCCAGTGAAGCAAATTGTGGAGATGCGTGTCAGGCCCACTCCCGTTTTGAACCTGATTTGGTTTCGCCATTTTCAGGAGGGGATTGTAAGGATTGGTTTCGTGGTGGAACTCCAGTGAGGGTGCCCACAGAGGGGACCGTGGGTCCGGATCCGAGCCTGCTGGATGAAAAAGAGTTCAAAGAACAGGGCGGAAAGCCTCCCGTGCTCGGGGAGAGAGATCTGGATGACTGCTGGTTTCTCATGGAAATCAGTGAAGTTGTAGAAGAGGAGGTGCCTGCCAATGACATGGAGGAAGAACACACGCATGGAGAGGTCCCTTTCGATTGTAGGCCAAGGTTTCCACAAGCAGAGAGCAAGTCTACGTATCAGCCTCTTTCAGAGAACATGACAGTTCTCAAACCCAGCGAGAATGGGAAAGGAAGAAGGCCAAGTGGGCACCATGAAACCAGAGACAGAGAAATAAATACAGGGGCAGAAGAAAACTCAATTCGCCAGCCTGCTCAAGAGAAGAGTCCTTCGAAAGTATGGTTATATACTTACTGTCTCTGTGGCTAACAATTATTCATCTTAAGAAAATACAGAGTTGTTACCCTAGTGCAGTGGTTCCCAACCTTGGGTCACCCAGATGTTCTTGGACTGCAACTCCCAGAAACCCTGGCCAGCACAGCTAGTGATGAAGGCTTCTTGGAGTTGCAGTCCAAGAACACCTGGGGACCCCAGGTTGTGGACCATTGGCCGAGTGCAAAGATAACTGCTGGATAGCTTAGTGGGTGAGGTCTCTGGGTGCGAAGCCAGAGGTTGGGAGTTTGATTCCTCAACTGGGCCTCCTTGACTGGGGCTAGACGTGATGATCTTCAGGGTGCTTTCCAGCCCTTGCAGTCCTAAGATGTGGCTGCTGCTGCAGATAAAAATACTCCTAGCGGTAATAAAGGAAACAGGAACAAGCCAGTCAAGATCATTGAATTTTCCCTGGTTTTTTTCTCACCTTCTGGCCCTTCTTTTAGCAGCTCCTAAATGTTTAGTTCCCCTTTCATCCTTATGGAAAGGAATAACAGCCGTTCCCTTGCTTAGCCAGGGTCTTGTCACTAGCTTTGGATCTGGTTGGAGAATCTTGGGGCGGGGTGGGGAGTCTGGACTATATGGACCGAAAAAGCAACTCTCCGTTTTGTCTTATCACAAAACATCTAAACTGTTAAAACACCAGTTGCAGTGGTTGGCTCTTTAAAAAGAAGACATTTGCAGAGGAAGGAAGCACCCAGCCAGTCCTCCGGAGTGAAAAGGGGTACTGTCCCCTTGCCCTCCTTAGCACCACCATAAGCTGTAGTTTTCAAGTGAAAGCACTCATGGTATGTCTTGAAAGCTTTTCTGGGTGAAACCTTGATGTGCCTTGAAGGGGAGTGAATTTTGTGCTGGACAGCATCCTGAGAGAACACCTAGGATGCGTCTTTATTATTATCTGGGCTCGACATACGATGGAATGGTTGAATGGGTGTCCTCGGTTGATCTTGGTGGCCCAAGGCAGGGGGCGGGGTTAGTTGGTAGGTGGTCTCTTAAATTACTTAAAAGTACATTAGGTTGGTCAAAAAATGGCTAATAATTGGAATTTTTGTATTTTCTTTTCCTGTCTAAGGAGGAAGAAAGCCAGCAGTCACATCTGTCTCATGGTGTACAAAGGGTCTTTTACGTATGTCTCCTTCCTTCCTAGTCTTTTTGTGACTTTATGGCTTTGGTTTGGGCATAGGAGAATTGGGCAGGTCATCATCTTAATAGCAATGCAAAGCTGAGCCTTCTGCTTTAGGCTTTAGGCTCTTTCGAGCTGCAGTGTGATTCTGAGATCATGGACCACACTCCTTAATGTTTGATAGTCGAGAAGCACCGTGTTGGCCTGGGCCTCCGGTCTCACCAACCCATGAGAAAAAAAGCTACTTCTGATTCTTGAACCAAGTAGTAAATGCACAGTGTAGGTGCTTTGTTCTGTGTAGCACTGGCCAGGTCTAAATGCAACTTCTAATTCAGTTTTTACCAGGAGTGACGTGGCATAGTTAAAGCTAGTGCACCCGCTGTGCCCATTCCTGGAGAAGTGTGATCTGGCCATGGGGACACACACCTTAGGGACATCATCTTGACTGGATTACTGTAACACACTCTTTGTGGGGCTGCCTCTGGAAAGGGTCAGGAAATTTTGGTGGGTCCAAAATGCAGCAGCCAGGGGGCTGACTGGGGCTGGTCACAGGGATCACGTAATGCACGCACACACACGCACACATGCACACGCACACATGCACACACACGCACACGCGTGCGTGCGCACACACACATACACCGGTGTTAACAGCAGCTCCACTGGCTACCGACCCATTTCTGTCCATAAATCAAAAGTGCAGGATCTAACCTATGGATCCCAAGCGATCTCAAGGACGGTGTATCCCTTTATGATCCTGCCTGGGTATTAAGATCATCAGGGGAGGCCTTTCTCTCACTTCTGCCACCTTCCCAGGTGTGTTTGGTGGAGACATGGGAGAGGGGCCTTCTCTGTGGCTGCTCCCAGACTCTGGAACTCCCTCCCACTGGAGGCCAGCCTGGGCCCATCTTTGCTCTGCTTCTGCAAGCAGTTAAAAGACATTTCTGTTCAGGCAGCCTTTCCCTCAGGGACTGGCTGTGTTGAGTGGGGTTTTCAAGTGGATGGTTGTACCTCACTGCTTTGACCTTTTTTTGTATTTGTATACTCACTGTTGTTAGCTTTAAATGCTGTCTTTGAATGATGTAAGCTGCCTTGGGTCCTTTTTAAAGAGAAAGGCGGAGTAAGTAGATAAATAAATCCTCAGTAGGCTGATGGTGAGCCTCAGGTCATGCCAGGGTGCTGGGCACCTGCATCGCCATTTGGCTCCGTATGCTTCTAATCCTACCCCATTTAACGCTGGAGAAACTTTCCTGTTCAAGACGGCAGATTTTCTTCAAGCGGGGCTTTCTCCGCTAGGTGGCTCCTGTTAATAGCTTTGTCCCAATATTGCACCGTTCACTTAAGTAAACCACTTGCACGCCATGTTATTCCCACACTTCAGGGCTGGTGCGTAATATCTGAAGTGGCTCTTCGTCCAGGTTACACCTCTAAATTCAAGAAGGGCGTGTGAGAGGAAATCTGTTTTCTTGAGGCTGAAAATGGAAGCCACCAAGCAACCCTAGCAGTGCAGAAAATGTATATGGATTTACCTTGTCCTGTTAGAGAAAACGTAGGGCACCCCGAGTAGACATCGTCTAGAGGGGCGGGGTATAAATTTAATAAATAATAAATAAATAATAATAAAATTCAAAGTCTCGGAAGATCCCCTCTTGGCTCCAGTATATCCATATACAGTATCCACAGATTTACTTCCTTGCTGCCAGAAAATATTAAATTAAAAAAACCAAAACACCAGAACTGGCCGCAGGAGGGGGCCAGAGACCCTTCTCGGTAGAGGATTCGCTCTTTCTGCAGTTTTTCCCATCCGTGGCTGAGGGGTGCGTGTGAATACCACAGTTCTACTGTAATATCTTTCAGTAGTATAATGCTGTGGGTTTTGCATTTTGTGTTGGTAGGGAAACATTGCAAAAGCACTATTCTGTGTGGTTTAGCAAATAAAATACAAGCACCTTAAAAGCACAGTGTAAGAAACCCAACGGCACAAACTACTACTATTTAATGAGTGTAGGGTTAAGAAACTTGCCTATTAACCATCTTGATTGTTGGTATGAATATTGAACAGGTCTCAGCCATAAAGAGCAAATGCTGCTAGTTTTCCTTTTTACCCCTCTTTCAAGCAAAAAGGAAGCAGAGAAGGTAAAAGCATTTTAGCTGTGCTTTGTGGCCATTTCCTTTGTGTTACCAAGAGCCAGATAGATGGGAGAGAAAGCCCAAAAGCAATGGAGGTTTTCCAAGAGTATCAAAGCCATAATTCTGAAGCGGGAAGGAGGGGGCGTTCCTAATTAGTTATCACAGTGAGTTGAGAAATAATCAGTTTCCCGGGAGGGAAAAGAGCTCAGCATCTTCCGGATGCCTTCTTTCCCATCTTTTAAGAGTCCTCTCCAAGATGCTGTTCTGATACCGCTCTCCATTTTCTGCCTAATTGTCTTTCTTCAGTTATCTGCTGCTGTGTATCGCTTTTGTAAGAGGGGGCTCGGCGTTTGTAGCTGATTTTAAAGTTGCGGTGTACAGAGAACCATCTCTTGAATATTGGGCAGAGAGGTTGCCAGCTATCAGGAGCTGTTGGTGGGAGCTTCTGGGCACCTCCCGCTTGGCTTTCTCTGAGACAGGATAAAGGGCAGGCTGAAACAGAGGGAGTTCGATTCCCCCACGGTGCCTCATTGACTGGGGCTGGACTGGATGATCCTTGGGGGTCCCTTCTAGCTCTGCAGTTCTAAAATTATTATTAAGATGCTTTTGAGTAAAGGGGCAGTCGTCCTAACATTTCCTCGTTCCCTCCGGTGCCATTCAAGAGGTCATGTCCGTCCCTTTTGGAGTTTGGGCACCTGTTTCTCGCACCTCTGCTCTGATGTAAACTAAGAAGGTGGTAGGAGTAGAACATTCAGGGAACTAGGATTCATACTGGCTTTGGCACGGTGAGACGTGGATGTTGCACGTGGAGGCAGTCCTGCAGAATAAAAATTCTGTGGTTAAAACAAGAGCCTCAGGGGTATATTATGTGGTTTAGTAATCAGAAAAGAATAGCATTTTCTAGACCAGACTCTGCTGGTAAAAGGTGCATACGAGTATTATAGGTTATGGTTCAGACGAAACAAGAAAACTGATTGTTCGTTTTGTATAGAAGGAGATTACTCGTCCGGTCATTCCCCTAGCTGTCTGGTAGGGCTCCGGGACTCTGTTGATTTAACTGGTAGACGAATCAACTAAAACATTAGTTTTTATTCACCTACCAGTTTTTTTTTGGCTGCAGCTGGAGGGCAGAAGTTGTTTGAGTTCATAAAATGTACATGGGAAGAGTGAAGATTCTTGAAATGGCTGAAAGCTCTTAACTGTTAAGTGAATTTTGGTAAAAGTAATAATAAAAAATGAGAATTTAATCAAGTAACATGAATAAGATAGCAGGGAAATATGAATGCTACTTGAAATGGAAAGTATATTCTTGTCATAGCAGATTTTATGTCTGCAATATAGATAAAGGAGAAATCACAACCACTTCCAGAGTGTTTTCGTGAGTGAGGCTTAAACATTTAGGAATCCCTCGTACGATTGAGCCACAAAATACTTCATAATGATTCCCCCCCCCTTCAATTATCTGACTTCATTGTTTCTTGTTTGGTAGTGGTTCTCAAACGGTGCTTTTCTTCCTGAAGGAATTGTCTGGGTCAACCGTCAAGTTGCTTGGAATACCCATCTATGATCTTGGAGCTGTCCGTCTGCGGAGAATTCCACAACTGGAAGACACATCTCTGCACATTTCTACACCCTGTTTGGTACAGATGTTTTTACCCTTTGCAGCAAGCTGAAATACTTGTGGAATAAACAGCAGCTAATCAGAGCTGAAGGAGTTTTTGGCTTTTTCCCGTCTTATGGACCATCCGAGGCTACAAGTCTGGATGCGAGTGTCTCCCCCCCCCCACACCCCCGGATCAGAGGCAGGCTGTCTCTCCCTATAAGCCCCTGGGAAACAGGAGATGGAGGTTGATGTTGCACTCGGTGAGCTCCCCGTGGGCAGCCACTTGGCCCCTGTGTGAACAGCGGGTGCAACTAGGCAGGGCTTTGGATTGATCCGGCCAGACTCTTGGTCGTTTTCCTAACTTGTAAACGACCTCCGGTAAACTGGGTCAGAGGGATGGGAGCCTCTATCCCGTGCCTCTCCACATTTGAGCTTGCTTTTGGACAAAAATAATGTGCGTCTCATCCCTCTGTCCCTCCCTCCTTCCCTTTGCTCCTTGTTCATATTTCCTTTTGGCCAGCATCCTCCTGAGCTTCGGCTGGGCAGAAAGACCACAGCCTCCACCGCACAATATTCAGCAGCTAACGTGGACGTGGGGCACTTAGTGACGTGAGATCGCTGTTGTGCCCGTGGTGATCTCCATGAAGGAACACTGCCTGCATGGTGGGACTGTTTGTGCAAGAGCTGTGGTCTGCTAATTGCCCCGCTGAGCCTTTCTTGCTCAGAAGGAGCTCAGTAGGATCCTGACCCTTATTTTCAGTCTAGAGCTCACAGTGCCCAAAAGATCTCATGATTATTTTATTCAGGGTTGAGTCTCTTTAAGAAATGTAATTTATTTTCTCTGTTTTTCCCCCCTGCCTGCCATCACCACTGCAATTCCTGCATAAGGAAAACCAAGACACCTGCGTTAGTCTTTCTTCTGATAGTACGGAAGAAGGGAAACCATCTTCAACGACTGAACGTTTAAGGTTAGGTAAGTTGCTGCTGAGGTCTGTTATGCTTTTGATCATCAATCCCCTGTTGAGAGTTTGTCTTCCAACCTTTTCTGTACAGGAGGTGGAATGTTTAGGGGGTGTCTTGTTTAACCAGCAGATCAGCGACCTTGTAACATAAATTGTGCATCACGCCCTGTGTCATTGGAGCTGCAATCACATCTGTGTGACCGCTGTCTTTCCAGTCGGACTTACAAAGGCAGATGTGGTTGTGTTCTAAAGGTCAGTCGTGACAGAAGATGGGCTGGTTTGCACTTCGTGGGAGGTAGGCGAGTCCCCTGCCTTCATTGACTCGCCATCAGCAGCTGAGAAGGTGATCCGTACCATTGGACCTGGAGAGATGATAGACTCAAACACAACCAGAATCCTTACTTCAACTCTACACTCTTGCCATCCAAATCTTACCAGTCATCTTGGTGGTGAAACAAAATTCTTGGTCTGAGTTGGCATGGCATTGCACTGGCCGTCACCTGCAAACCGTGAGCACCTTCATCAGAGCAACAGTTGAAACCAAAAGAAGATGTTGGAGAGGCTACCTGGGACCCAAGGTGGAGGAGGGGGGTTTGAAGAAACAGTTAGGGAAGCAGTCAAGTGATCGGGTCCAAAATCAAGAGACTAGGATGTGATCTATGTAGGAATTGGTTGTTGTGGGTTTTTCGGGCTCTTTGGCCGTGTTCTGAAGGTTGTTCTTCCTAACGTTTCGCCAGTCTCTGTGGCCATGGGCATCTTCTCCTCTGGTGTACTCTGAAGATGCCGGCCACAGAGACTGGCGAAACGTTAGGAAGAACAACCTTCAGAACACGGCCAAAGAGCCCGAAAAACCCACAACAACCATTAGATCCCGGCTGTGAAAGCCTTCGCGAATATGTACGAATTATTCATTTATTTATACTGAGCCATCAGTGTGTGTTGGCGTATGAAGAGGGCGGGTCTCTGCAATTAAAACCCGTTCTGTGCTCCAGGTGCACGAGTCCTCCCCTCTGTGCCCTGCCCTGCGTCGTCTACAACTCTCACATTGTAGCGGCTGTCCTTCTCTTATTCACAAACCTTGGGGCCTATTTTGAGCGACGAAAGCCGTCTTGATCCTTAGGAGATTAGCTGTAAGCTGGCTGTTACAAAACCATCTGTTGGTGTTGTGGAGCCAGAAGTGACAAGCCCGCCACTTTCTCGGAATTTTCTTCTTTTCCTCCTGAGTCACCAACGAGAAGCTGTTCTTATACTGCACCTTAAAGTCTGGAGCAGTTGAGTGTGGCGCGTATTATGCTTCCGTTCTGATGTTGAAAGGGAAGGTGAAGAGGAAGCTGTCGGCCGTGTGGCTTCCCTGGAGAAGGAACTGCAAAGAGAGCAAAGCACTTTTATTTCTTGCACTTCACATCACAATGCTAGCAGTAACCCAAGGAGGACCACCGTGGTTAGCTACCAAATTGTTGAAAGTCTTGCTTTGCTTACAAGACCGTCAAAGGCAGATGGACGCTTGTGCTTTTGTTCAGTGGAGTTCACACACACCCCTTCAGACTCTTGCGTGTTATTTCTAGAAATTGGAGGTAGACAGTTGTACTGGGGGCACGGGGGGGGGAATCTCAGGTTCTGAATTTGAACTACTGCAGTTCATCGGCAGAAACACATGCATCAGATTAGACAGTTATGAAACACACCGCTTAGTTGGCATTCCCGGGACTGTGAAATTGAAAGCCTTTGGATGTCCCGTGGAGTCTGGTGGCTCAGGTGGAGCTGTTTTTGTTCCAAACATTGAAGGGGGAACGATCCAAAGGGATGAAAACGAGCCCTCCCTAAGTACCTTCAGCACCATGGAGAGCTCCTTGAAAGCTCATTTCTGGATTGAGAAGGGAGGGAAGGAGCTGCCCTTTTCTTCGAGGTGCTTCGAAGCCTCCTTTCCTGGATGGTGATTTTCCTGACACCGGTCGGAACTAGACAGGTAGAGGCCTTAAAAAAAACAAACAAGGTTGAAGGCCCAGCCGTTGCCTCCAGATATCTGTCTGTGCTGTAGGCCTTGATGGAGAAAAGGTTCTTTCGCCGCTGAGAACAGGGGAAGCATTCTTGTTTATTGGGGATCCTGCACGCCCACTTATCATCACTGAGAAATGGGGGCGATGATACAGCGAAGCGCTTTTGTCCCATAAAAGGAATCAGGGCTTGGTCTCCCTAGGGTTTCTCCTTGGTGTCTTCCTTGTGGGAACTTAGGGTGATTGGAGCTTCTTTCATTTGCTCTTAAGATGTCAGCAAGACGGAGGCCAAAAAGAGGACTCAGGGACCTTGTACGTCTGCCGCGCCGATCCCTGGCTCTCTGGCCTATCAAGAACAAATCCGTGGGATGGTGGTGGATGCCCTGAGGGAGACTCTTCAGAAAAGGTAAGCCCGCAGGCCCTGCTGAATGCAGGAGGCATCTTTTGTGCGCATCTGGAGTGTTAAAAGAGTGCAGAGGTCACCTGGAGCCTCTTTCAAAGCCTGCTTTTCTTTCCCGCCATTTGCCAGATTTCTGCTCCAGTGTTCCTCCAAAGAGCACAGAGAGGCATAGGTTGCTTCTCCCTTCGTTTACCCTGAGAGTAGCCTGGGCTGAGAAAGGAGGACAGGCCCCATTCTGTGAGTGTTATGGCTGAGTGGAGAGTTAAACTTAGACCCTCCTTCTTTCAATGGGAAACTGTACCCTAGTAATAGAATCGTGGAGGTGGAAGGGGCCTCAAAGGCCATCAAGTCCAACCCCTTGCTCAAGGCAGGAAGCCAAGTCAAGGCAGATCTGACAGAGGGTTGACCAATTTTCTCTTGAAGGCCTCCAGCGTTGGAGCGCACACCCCCTCCCGAGGTTGTAGATTCCTTTGTCGTACTGCTCTAACAGTACACCACCTCCCGAGGTTGTGGATTCCTTTGTCGTACTGCTCTAACAGTTAAGAAGATTTTTCCCCCTGAGATTCAGTCTAAATCTGGCTTAAAAGGGCTCTCCTATCTCCCCCCAATCTTCTCTTCTCAAGGCGAAACATGCCCAGTTCTGTCAGTCTTCCCTCTCTAAATCTGGCTTTAAAAGGGCTCTCCTATCTCCCCTCGGTCTTCTCTTCTCAAGGCTAAACATGCCCAGTTCTGTCAGTCTTCCCTCCTTTATAGGGCTTGGCTTCCATCCCTCAGTCATCCTTGTTGCCCTTCTGAACTTGCTCCAGTTTGTCCGCATCCTCCTTCAAGTGGTGTCCAATTATAGTGTAATAGTTATAGTGTAATAGTATAATACATTTTCATATCGGCCTGATGTACTGAGAATTGTAGGTTCCTTAATTAAACCCCCTACAAAAAAAAACCCCATAAAAAAACCCAAAAAACCCCCCTCTTTCATAGATATGTGAGCTAAGAATAAATGAGTAGCTGCACAGAGGGAAAGATTCCTGATAAATATTTTGAGTTCCTGTCCCCTTTGGAAAGTGATGCGTGTGCCATTTCCTCATCTCTCAAGGCTTGGCCCTTAGCGGGCAGATCTTAAAAGACCGTGATGATAAAAGGCCCGCTGCCTGGTTGGTTTGTGTGTTAAACTGAGGTGTGTGTGTGGGGGGGGGTCGGGGAGAAGGGGGGGAAGGACCACAGCCTTTGTAGACCGGCCTTGTGTGTGGATGCCCAGTCTGGCCCAACACACCCGTTCCCTCCACCGTTCTGCCTGCTGTGTTTCAGGCTGGATGCGTCTCCTGAGAAAGATTCCTGATAAATATTTTGAGTTCCTGTCCCCTTTGGAAAGTGATGCGTGTGCCATTTCCTCATCTCTCAAGGCTTGGCCCTTAGCGGGCAGATCTTAAAAGACCGTGATGATAAAAGGCCCGCCGCCTGGTTGGTTTGTGTGTTAAACTGAGGTGTGTGTGTGTGTGTGTGGGTCGGGGAGAAGGGGGGGGGGAAGGACCACAGCCTTTGCAGACCGGCCTTGTGTGTGGATGCTCAGTCTGGCCCGACCCACCCATTCCCTCCACCGTTCCGCCCGCTGTGTTTCAGGCTGGATGCGTCTCCTGAGCTGTGCGTGCCAAAGAACGCGGTCTCCAGGCTGGCGAAGCAAGTGGAGAGAGAGATCTTCAGACTCTTCTGCTGTGTTGGCCAGCATTACAAAAAGAAGTACCGCAGCCTGCTGTTCAACCTGAAATCAACGGAGAACCAGGTCAGAAAACACTTCATGGACTCCACCCCGTCCATGGATCATGGGGGGGGGAGCATCCTGATTTCCCCTTATTAATCCAAGACTGTGGTGAGCCTCTTGCTGTGTTTCATCCCCATTAGCCTTTGCCTCTCTCGCTAGCCATTCTTCTTCATTCCCTCTTTAGACTTCAAAGGTTTTTCTAATCACTCTACTCTTCCCCCTCCCCCCCAATTGGCTGCATTAGTGGAGAGTTCTGGCTACCCGTTATGGACACATTGGTTTTGCAATACTTTATTTGTCTGAGAAAGATTAGGAATGGGGTCTGGATGTGTGTGAACCCTTTTTGCATTGGTTGGAGGTCTAGAGAGAGTCGGCAGGAGGTTTCCGGCTGGCCTGAACTGCCGTCTGGAATATCGGGTTGCTGGACTGATAAAGGTCTGGAATCCGTGCGTACGATCGCCTCCCCGCACTTTGCGAAGTCATGATAATCCTTCGGTATTCCTTTCTTAGAAGGGAAAAGGACCCCGTGTGAGGCCTTTGGGAAGGCGTACTCTGGTTAAGTTCAGAAACCTGGCCTCCCAAGAATGATCTGTGTGTGTCTTGATGCTTCAGCAGCTCTTCAGAAGGGTGATGCTGGGAGAGATCACTCCGAGGAGGCTGGTTCAGATGACCTCTTTGGAGATGGCGCCCCAGGAACTAGCAGAGTGGAGAGCAAGAGAGAACCGACGCGTAAGTTGGAAAGAGCGGCGATGGAGCCAGAAGATTTTTAGCTTGTGCGGTGCTTGGAAGACCACAGTCTTACAGTGGGTGGGAAAAAGGGGAAGCTTCCCTCAGCAGCCCTGGGGCTTTCGAGGGCTGCAGACCGCCTGGATTTTATTTTTTTCTCCCCCTCTGCTACAGCCTATGTCGCATTTAACGTAGTGGCAGACCCTGTGTCTGCTCCGTGGATTGTAACTGTCCTGCTTCCTTAACCTGTGCCAATGCCACCTGATGAGCATACTTTTATCTCGCCTGCCTGTAGCATCTGAAGTATGTCTTCCGCATCCTCGGCACACCCTCTGTCTGCTCTGTGAATTGCAACTGTCCTGCTTCCTTTAACCTGTGCCAATGCCATCTGATGAGCAAACCTTTATCTCGCCTGCCCGTAGCATCTGAAGTATGTCTTCCGCATCCTCATCTGTGTGAAGGCATTGGTTCGCAACCTTGTGTTCACTGCTGTGCTGCTTTCAGGTGCTGGAAATTATAGAGAAAGAGGAACGAGAAGCCCCATCGCATTGCTCTGCAAAATTCACCCACAAAGGAATTGTTGAGATACACAGGGAAGCCGAGGAGGACTTGCCGTCCCAGGAAATACTTGTGAGTAGGCCGTGATGAGCGTTAGCCAGATAGACCCAACTGGGCGCGCATTGGTGCTCACCGTTGCTGGATTGCCCTGTTCGAATTGTGTCCGGTGAATTTTTGGCACTCGCAGGATCGTGTATAGTTTATTTTGGAGAGTGGAGGCCAGACATTAATGGCTCGTTGGCCTCCTGAGCCCAAGTAGCCGCAGTAAAAGCTGCCTCCTGACCGTGGCCCTGATCTTTTAGCCCCGTTGTCATTAAGCGTTCCCTTGATCGCTTTGGAAGATGAACATCTAGTTGCTCCTGTCCGGCTGGAGTGGAGTAGAGACCCCGGCAGGACAGGATGCCCCCCCCCACCTCATGTGCACCCTTTTGGGCTTCCCTTTCTGCCTTCATTCTGATGAGGAAGGTCCTGCAAGCATTTACGAAGCCCAATTAAACGTGTTGGCTTTCTAAATGTGCAGCAAAACCGGCTGTGGCCTTAACGGCAAAAGACCTAAATGGCCATTTCCCTGGAAAGGCCTATGTGGGTGATGTCGTCACCAGCGCTTGGGGGGTGGGCGGAGGGGGGGCTTGCACCTCCTTAAACTAGGCTGGCAAACTTGAATTGATCTCTTCAGGAAAGAATAATTTGCTAAAGACGTGAGTGACTGACCTGGTTAGGTCACTTTTAACCAGCAGAATGAGGAGTTAAAGATACAGTCCTTCACTTGTCCCCCCCTCTTCCCCCCCCCAGGAACTGCAGTTACACATGAAGGAGAACTCCAGTTCTGAGGTTCCCACAGCACCTGCAAGAGACTCAGGTGAGAGCCTCTGTAGCCGTGGTACAGGACTGCCACTGTGCCAGGCATTCTGGCAAGTTTTCTTGGTTAAGGCACAAGGTTAACTTCAGGGCTAAACCACTCGGGTCTCTAGCAGTTCATTAAGGATCCTTCTCCTCCTCCTCCTTTTTTTTGAACAAATTTTTTATTTTATTCATGCATACCTAACATACAAAACTAAAAACACTAAAGACCTAACAATAATAAACAAATTTTTTTTCAAAACTACACATTCATACTATCCCTGTAGATCAGAGATTTCGCATCGGCTGGTCATCTAAATATCATCAAAGGATTCCAGTGAGCACTGATTCGCTATAGACTAATTTCCCCCCTAAGTTCCTGTCTTTTTCTGGGCCCAGTGATATATCCGCTTCCAGCTTTCCTTTACAAAGTCTCTTGGTTGATCCCGTAGCGTCTAGGAAAGCAGGTCTAGTTCTGCAGTGTCTTAATAGCTTCTTTAATAGTTCATCCATCGTTGGTGTCTCTCTATTCTTCCATTTTTGGGCCCAGAGTAACCTCGCTGCAATTAATATATACGGTAGACTATATTTTGTTTTCTTATCAATAATTTCTTATCAGTAATTAAAAAAAAAATCCAAGGGCTTATTATCATATGTGGTCATGAGAAAAAGAAAAAAAAAGTTATAGGTTTGGGAAATGTCACAAGAGATGGTTCAGCAAAAATAAAGTTTTAAACCTGAAATGTTACTATTGAATAGAATCACCATCATCTTAGAACAAGTCCTCTGCAAATGTTTCTGGGGATGTTCTGCCTGTCTTTATGGCATCTAGGATGCCTCTTTTCTTGAGAGAGAGAGAGACACACACACACATCATGGGCAGAAAAGCCTGTATTGCTTTGTGATTGTGTGGGGTTTTTTTTCCAGAAAGAGCAAAGGAAGCGTTTCTGACAGAGAAGTGACTGCTTATTTGAAGCACGAGATGAAGGTTTCCGGCCTAGTCTTGACCGCAGGGACTGTGTGATTTGATTCAATAAGCAGTAAAGCTTAAAAAGCTAAGTTAATTTTGAAATCCAAATCATTGAGTCTGTACCCAGGGTCCAGGACCTGTTATTTAAATTTCGTAACTGGCAACAGCGGTTCTTTGAAATCAAATAATTAAAACTGAATTGCTGGAAAATAACCTCATTTCTTCTGGTTTTGTAGGGCAGAAAGCTGGTGACAGTGAGAGGCGATTTAAGCCAGCTGCTTACAAAGCTACTTTAAATCAAAAAGAAAAACCTCGAAAACATTGGCGCTCCAGCATCATGTATTCAGAAGAGGAAGGGACTCCTTTGCAGCAGGACAGGTTTGTATCATGCTTGCTTCTCGTTTCCTGCACAGTACAAGGCAAGACAGAAGCTTTATAAATAACCTTATAAACAACATTGCAAAACGTGGTCCAGTGAACTCTTAAAAAAAAAATTGAAAAGTGTGGAAATATTTTAATCTTTGAGTGCTATGCATTGCATGGTGTCTTAACTTCCTCTAGTGGCCAGTTCTGGTAAATATGTCCTGGAAATATATATAAATAGGTATTATTTGGGGTTTTTTTTGTTTAGTATTTTCATCCAGTGGATAAGTGAATCAGCAGATACTGATCCTGTGGATATGGGAGATCCTGTGCATTTATTTGTGGAATGGTTGCATGCACTCTCGCCAAAAATGGGACTCAAGGCAGAGGAAGAACAGTCTTTGACTTGCAGATTTTCCCTATCTCTTTTTAGTCTCATTTCATCCGGCATTCCGAAGAAAAATCGCCGCGTGGAGATGCAGTCCAAGACCACCGCTGTCTGGAAGGGACTCATTCAGATGTTCAGTATAAAACAGTTCATGGCCAAAGCATATCCCGTTTCTGGCTCCAGCTCTCAGCTCGGGCAGGTACAACGTTCGCATTCCCCATTTAGGAGTCTGGCTCCCCTTGTAGCCCCAGCTATGCAGTGGGGCCGGTTCTTCCCGCAGAATTATGGAAACCAGCCGGCGGTCAAAACAATATTGATCCAGTTCATTTCAATGTGGGCGCTGTTCAGTTGACTTTAGTCCAGCCCTAGCGGAACCAGACTACTGGATGTTGGAGGTGCCATGGACACGGTTTAAGAGCCGTGCAGGAGGTGACAGACCCCTGTAGCCTTGTGGGCTCGGCATGACAGCAAGGAAGGAGAGGAATTAAAACAGCCTTCCTTGGGGAATCTTCCTGGGGCCGATAGATTCAGCAGAGATGCTGATGAAGCCAGTGTTTACCTTCTAACGACCAGTCACGTCATGAGACTGGAACCAAAGATGGTCAGCCCATGTTAAATAAGTGAGGAAGGGAGCCCCTCTTTGAAAACAGGCTAAACGTACAGGGAAATCTGGTTTGACGCCAGGATTATTGCTGCCCCAGGGCTTCTGGAAATGGGGGGGGAGGCTATTTGGCCGTTCAGAAATATAAGACCGAAATGGTAGAGTAGTGCTAGTGTGGTCTAGTGACCATCAGCTGGTGGATCCTGTGACCCATCTCACATGTCTTCCTCCCCCTGTTTCCTCTCTGTGTTGTTGTGATTCCTCTAGGCTTTACCCGGTCTTCTTTGGTCGAGGGGATGCATTATGCCCGAGGATGTCTGGACCTATTTAGACAGCATCTGGCCAGCCAACAGCAAGGTACGGGAGCATCCTGAGTGTCTTTAGTTTGTTCAGAATGGAAAAGGGAAGGGCCGGTGCGGTCCCGAAGATCCCATAATAGCAAGAGCAGGTGATACCGTTTATTGGATCACTAAAAATTAGAACAAAAAGGGAGAGCTTTGGTAGATAAAATCCACTTCCTCTTTTTGCCCAGCGACAAAGGTGACCCCAAAGATTCACGCAGGCCTTCCAAGGCACAAGAGGCCAGACTGAGGCTGGTCAGTTTTTAATAAACTCTCCGGGGGAGACACATGTAATTATGCAGTTGATTAATCAATCAGTGAATTAATCTGACTGTTGTGCTTTTGGTGTGCATGCTTCTGTCTCTCCACGGAAATGGTCTCAGTCGTGAGAGAGGCCTATAAAACAGGAAGCAAAGGAAAAAGGAAACACTCCTGTGATCTTCCAGCCGTCCCCGTCCCATTTGCAGTGGCCTAGCAGTAGACTTGTCAGCTGACGTGCCTGTTACAAGGGGGGGAATTTTTAAAATGCAAATAATTGGAATGGCTCATAGAAATAAACAAGGAAGGGTTTTTTTTTTTTGTAAAATCAATGGCACTTAATTGCCCACTGAAGACCAAAAGCACTCTCACATATTTTGCATTACCACAGAGATGATGTACTCTTCATGGAACAAGAAATGGGTGGGGAAATCCACTTCTCCCCAGTGGCTACTCTGAGGATTGCAGTTAAGGTCACCGCAAGCATGGCAGCCTGGCTCAGGGCCCTTCTGTCCCATCCTCCTCAAGCCATCTGCCATGGGAGATGGAAGTCAAAACAAACGAACAAGCAAATAAATAAATACCTTGTTGGGCTCCTCTCTGTTTTGAATGCCCTTTTGTGCGCTAGAAGAATCTACGCCCAGTGGGTCACGTCTCACTTTCCCGAAAAGCATCCCCTGCCCCAAACGAACCTCACCGTTTTTAATTCCTTCCTTTAGGAGATGGGCGTGATACGGTTCCACCCCACCTTCTCTCGAGACTTTAGCTACTACCACATGCTGTACACCTACCTGAACAACAAGCAGCAATACGGCATTGTGAACAGCCCCCAGATGGAGATCTTCATGGTTCCTCTGGCCGCCTACCAGCCTGTGCCTTCTCAGCTCCGCCCTCTGAGCGGCCCAGGTAGGGATCCAGCGCCAGGCTTTCTCCTTCCTTGGAAGCCTGTGGTGGCCATCATCCTTGGAGGTCCTTCTGGAAGGCATCATTTGTGCCGTTGCAAATCAGTCCGTTGTCCTCTATTTTGCCTTTGCCGTTGTCAACAAATGTTATCCTTCTGCCGTAATTTGTCTTCGGCACCAAGTTTTGTTTGCGTAAGGGGTTTTGAGAGATTAGGAAAGAGAGAGAGAGAGGCTGGAGAAGGAAAGGACATTAAAAAGGTTTAATAAGAGTATTGATAGTGTGGAGTGGAGAGAGGAAGCCAAAGAGAAATTGTGCCTCCCAGCGTGCACAGACTTCGAGTCCTCGAGTGACACTGGTTGGCAAATGACAGAAGACAGGTAGATGAGAGACAAGATGCACTGGGTGGTTTGGGGAAAGGCATTTCCCTTGGGAAGATTCGTGGAAAGCCTCCAAGGCCTTTTGCGAACAGCAGCAAGCTTTCCGGGCCCCTCTGTGTATGCCTTCGCCACTTTTGTCTGCAAAGCCCCATTACGGATCAAGAAAACAGGTAAAGTCTACACGAAGGCATGTTTAATGATTTTTGCAAAGTGCCATCTGGTAGAGAATAGGAGCCACGAAGGGAGGATGATGAAATGCCTGCCGTTGGCCCCAGTGTGTGCAAGGAGCTGGACCTCGCTGTGCAGCAGACGGGAGGGTGCCTGGCTTTGTCTAGCCCTGGCGTGTCTGGAAGGATAGAATGCCTACACAATCCCGTCCCTTTGCTGCACACGTGGAGCCGGGGGGGGGGCTTGAGGAGTCTCGCCCCTCCGTCCTGGAGCTGAGCAATCTCTTTCCTGTGTTCCTGATGAACCCCTCCATGTCTTAAAAAATCCCCATCTTCCTCAAGAGCTTCTCTTCCTTCTCTTCTCCATCACACGCTTCGCGGTGACCTTTGTGTGCCCGTTGAGAGACGGCATGGCATTAGACCATCCTGTGGCAACAGGATATTAAAAATTTCGTTGTCGACATTTAAGAGGTGGCCTCATCCTTTTGTTTCTGCTTGCAAAATGCCAACAAGGATGTGCTTCTACCCAGTGTGCTATTTACTTAGGCCCCTTGTCAGTGTGTGTGTGTGTGTGTGTGTCCAAATCGGGTCGAAGTGAGCCTGTCTTGTAAAGAAAACATTCATAAACAGAATTTTAGCTCTTTCGTTGTTTCTGGTTTAGGAAACGTTGGGGCGGATGGGGTGGGAAATGCATCTCAGGAGGATCACAGTTTCTGTCAAAAAGGTGCCCCACTTACATTCTCTCCCCCCCCCCTTCCTGGAGAGAGAGGGCAGATAATAGTCACTGACTTGCCAAAGGTTATCATAGCGACCTTTTGGAATAGTGGGAAAGGCTGCTTCTCTGTCACCCTTTGCCATCCAGCCTCCCTTATTTGCTTTCCGATATAGCGGGGCTCGCACTGCTGCAGTCACAGGGCTGTAGATTTTTGTATAATTAAAGCTGCTCTTTAAGAAGGGCCGAGGCGCTGCTGGTTTTCCTCTGGGTTACAATTAAGCCAACCAGCCTCCTTTTTCCATTGACTTGTGTTTTTTCCCCCCATTCCTCTCCTCCTCCTCCTCCTCCATAGGGCTTGATCCATCCCATCCGTCTTTGCTGCTGGGACTAATTCTGCCCAAGAAGACTTCCACAAGAACTGTGGAAACAAGGGGCAGCTCTCCACCCAAGGCCAAGGCAGGGGTCGTCAGCCTTAAAAACAGGACCCAAAACAGCTGTTCCCCTCCGGCTTCATATTCCCAAGCGGACCCAAATCATACCCAGCCGCCTTTGTCTGGAGACGAGGTTCAAGGCGAGATTCCGAGAGAAGAATCCTTCACCATCAACACCCTGATCAGTCTCACGGAGGAGCTGGGCCGAAAGATGTGCCAGGCGGATCCTTCCTGGTTGCACTACGAAGGGCCAAGCGATGTAGCCGGCTGGGGTTCGGCTGGCAATCTTTTCCTGCCCCCAAGTGGTCCCCCTTGGCTCGGGGAGCCCTTGGGCAGCCTGCCCCCGGGAGCCCACCCGGATCAGGGCGGGGGGCAGCAGGTGCAGCTTTGTCTCCAGCCGGACCCCTCACTTCCGTGGGACGCGCAAGGCCACCTTCTGCCTTCCGTGATAGCATGGCCGGAGCAGCAGAGAGCCGAGGAAGGACAAGGTGTGGCCCTCTGGGAGATCCCATTCTCGCACGGGGCGGGTAGCGTTGAGGCTGGGCCGCCTGGTGACCTGTCTTCGGTTCTGCCTTTGCCTGAGATCCTTTGCCCCAGCGGGACGGCTGGAGAGCCCAGTTCGGTTCTGCAGGAAACTCTGTCCTTGATTGAGCAAGTGGCGCAGCTCCAGGCCGGTATCCAGAGCCAGGAGCCTCAGCTGCCCTCCACTCCGTTCGGCTTTCCTACCGTGCCGCAAGACGTTGCCTCTGCCTGGCCTCAAGCTGCCGCGGGCCTCGAGTTCCCACCCGCTCAGCAAGACCCTGAGATGTACGCCCACCTTCAGCTGCTCGTATCTGCCTTGAGTGGACCCCCACCGCCCCCTCCGGCCCTTTAATGGCTCTCAGTTTTTATCAGAGGGGACTTTACAAGAAAGGCAATCTGCAAAAAAGCACCCTTTGGGCCCGGGACTTGAAAAGGGACCACCGGTTTATCAAGAACGGAATGGCAAAGGCAGGACGGGCAAGCGGTGGGGGTTTCGCCTGCAGCCTTGAACGACTGGATGCAGAAAGCCATACCCAGGTCAGAACAGGGAGAGGCGTAAAGGCAAAGTGTGAAGGTTGTGTGAGTGAACACTGCCTGATAGTTTCATCCCTTTCCGACCGTAACTCTGGATCCGATAGAAGATCCCAGTATGGCGGGGTGTTTATTATTATTGTTCAAAGCAATAAAGCTTTTACTATTTTTTTAAAAGGAAACTTTGGTTGTTAGCTTCCTTATCTAGACATATACTGTGTCGGAAGTGTCGAAGGGGCCCGTAGCGCTTCACCGAGATTTTGAGAAAAAAGCTGCAAAGCTTAGGTTTCCAGCAGCTGCTCTCCTACAGAATTGCAGACAGCAGCACGTTGTCGTGTTTGTTCCGTACCAACTGGTCTGAACCGACCTCTCGCGACCTGAGAGGGCTTTCGAGGTCATGGAGGGATTTAAAGGGTAGTTTTACCGGTTCCACACCCCCATGAGTTTTCACGGCTGAGCAGAGATTCGAACCTGGGCCTTCTGACTCCTAGCCCATCATTCTAACCCTCTGCCGCACTCACACGGCATTATGTTTGTAAAATATAAAATCGCAGAATACACTCAAGCTTTGGGCTGCCCAAAGTAGACCAGATACGTAGCTGTATCGAGGGTGGTTGCGTAGCAAACCGCTCCGATGGCTGCCTCAAGAATTAAACCTCTTTTTTCTTGTTGTTATTAATAAATCAGGGGTCCCGAGCAAGGCAGGGAGTTCTTTCCTGAACCCAGAGACAAATCTCCAGTCACTCCAGATTTTAAGAACACGAGTGAAACACTCGTTAACCAGGTTTCCTGAATGGAAATTAGGGGCAGGGGAATTTTACCCCGTGGCTCATCGTCTTGTTCCTGGTTCAGGTCCCAGAAAAAGGAGTAAAAAAAAAGCTGTCTACACAGTTTTCGTGTTTGGTGTGGATCCTGGTGAATCGCAGGTGAGTGGATGAAGTAAGAGGAGAGTGGCTGCAGTCCTGGGACGAAGAGCAGGAAAGGGTTTAAATAGCGGCGAAGAAAGACGGAGCCTGGCGGGAATCTAAAGCACAGTGCTTTGTTGAGCTGCTGTCGTATCATCGCACGCTCACAAGAAGACTTTAGTTTTACTTATTTATTTAAAATGTTTTTAACCCCGCTGTTCTCCTTAAAAGGACCCAAGAATGGCAAAAGGGGAAAGAAAGAAGGCTCGAGAGGGAATCCAGGGTCTAGCCTGCTCTGTTCATTTGTGGGTCTGTTGCCGTGACATAAAAGTGTTTTGCGCGGCGGAAGTAACATTTAAACACAGGCACGCAAACTTCTTTAACGCCACCCTGCATTTTACAACACGGACTTATTTATATGGTAACAACAAAAAAGGGCAGACTTTTATCATCCTCTTCAGGCTTGATCATTATCCTTAATTGTGAAAGCAAAGCTTCTTAATGGGGTTATTTTCAACTTGAGGCACAATGAACAATGAAAGGGGAAGATTCTCCCCCTACCCTGAAAAACGCTATAATGGCTTATTATTACAGCAATCTGTCCATGGAGTTTTTAATGAGTGTCGTTTCCTCGAGAGCCGTGTTGTCTCCTGGCTTCCTTCTCTGGCAAGCTCTGGAGGTTGGAACGTGAGGAGTTACCTTTGCCGAAGCAAAATTTCCAGAGGGAAGGGAGGATTCAGAGCTTATCCCGCAAGGAAATGAAACATGGGCTTTGAACACTCTTGATCTCGTAGAAACATAGCAGGCATTTGGATGGGATCAAGGACTCCTGAAGTTCAGTAGGTTGTCTGTGGGAAAGGGGACTCAAAGAATGTAGGGACCATTAGTTCAAACATTATAATGCATTTCCAAAGATTTCTTGGGTTAAGTAGTAGACTCTGTTGATCTTTCTATTGATCATTTAATGGGGGTGGGTGGGTGTTAATTATTATTTTTTCTGCCATCTTGACCCTCTTTTTGGGTCCTGGGGGTGGGATGCCCTTTAAAATTAACAAACAAACAAACAAGCAGAAAGCTAGTGATGGCTTTTTAACTGCTCTGGTTAAACGCTAGCTTTGCAATTCCCAGCCGTCCAATAGCCGTGTCTGGTAATTAGGGCTCCCCCTATTACACAGTTTGGTGGAGGATGATAATTGCCCTTTTAAAATGGCGCTTGTTTGTTATGGCAACTCCGCTTTCCATGTGGCTTTGTTTCCCGTAGGGCCCCGGTGGCCACTCGCTGGAATCGCGCTCCGCTCTGGACACCTGGATCCAAAGTTCATTAAGATAAGCAACCGGTTTGTCTGCAACCCGGCTAGTTTTGTAATCCGAGCAAGCCCGCACGGCATAGCTATGTCGATCCGGGAGCCCACCGTTGGATAATAACTTTATAAGGATCGGTTGAAATGTGACCTTTCCAGTTCTCCTAAACCTCTTAATCAGGACAGATAGTAAAAAAGGTGGAACGGAAAAAAGAAGACGTCAGAAACTCAAGATGTGGCTGTTGAAAAGGTGGAACGGAAAAAAGACGTCAGAAACTCAAGATGTGGCTGTTGGCTTTACAATTGCACTCAGGGGGTCAAAGAAGACATTGCAGTGAGCCTTCTCATGAGAAGTGGCGCATCCTTGAGGGGCTAAATGGGTTTGTTTCCCTAAGGTTAAGGTTCTTCAGCTCTCCGAGCTGAAAATTAGCTTGCTTTTGTGTGGCTGTTGGTCGTTTGGAGATAAGCGGGGGGCTTCGTTTGCAAGTTAATTACACCGCAGACATGACAACACTGAAGAACTGCATCTTTGGAGGGAGCATGTTTAACATCTTCTAATTGGGAAGCTAATAACTTGTCGAGTTTAACCCACAGCGGGAAGGTTGGGGCTACAAGAGGAGACACTAAGAGGCTGGCTACATGGGCTGTTTAGCCCACTGGCTAGAGCGTGGCAGCATGGATGGGCTGGTGCATTGCTCAAGACAGTGATCAGACAATGTCTTTGCGAGAATGCGATAGCTCACCCCGGAGTGTTCCTACCTGCAGCTTTCTAGCCCCCTTCAAGGGGCTTCTCCTTTTCTGGGGTGGGTACGATCGTTCTGGTTTAGATTAGTTCTTGCAGGAACTGATCCAAGCCAGTCTGCCTCTTTCCATTTGCCGATATTGTGAAGTGGCTTAATAAGAAAGCCACTTCAGGATATTGGTAAATCAATCACTTCCCCTGCTCAGGAGGGAAGTAGATTTTTCTTCTTCTTGTTAACTCTATATAGACTATCACTGATGTGCTGCATCAGGCATAAAATTACCTCTCCCTAAAAAGCCGGTTGAGAAACCATCCACAGTTGGATTCACAATGGTGTCTTCGGCTACAGGCAGTTTCTCGATTGTCCCTTTAAGAGAAGGCAAAGAAAAGATTTCTGACGTTTTAAAATAAGTGATGCAACTTATCAGCAATAGTCTCTATATAGTTAATTTTCCTGCTCACTTTTCTGGCCCTCTGCTGCAAAGAGGAAGTGATTAATTTGACAGTATCCTGAGGTGGCTTGCTTATCAAACCACTACAGGATATTGACAGGAGCCTTTTCTATGTACAGGGTCAGTCTTGATTAGATTGTTCTGGTCAAACCAGGTAGGTTAAACATTGCAAAAAGGAGAGTCCTGGTAAACATAAGTGAAATAAGTCAGTTTTTAAGAAACACATATAAATGTGTGAATAATAATAAAAATTAGATAATTGTGTGCCACCAAGTCATTTCTGACCTCTGACGATCATTTTCAGGGTTTCCTACATACAGTGTCCTCAGAAGTGGTTTTCCACTTCCCTTCTTCTCGAATATTACAGCTGGCCCAAAGCCACCGAGGCTGGCTCTTCTCCCTGGAGGCCCAGCGGATATTACAGCTGGCCCAAAGCCACTGAGGCTGGCTTTTCTCCCTGGAGGTCCAGCGGGGAATCGAACTCCCAACCTTCAGCTCCGCAGCCAGAGAACTAAACCATGGTGGACATGACTGTGTCTCCTCCTAACTGGGAAACGAAGAAGCAAGAAGGGAGCTCCAGTGAGGAGGACAGCCTAAGAGTAGCAATATATCTGGAGAAAAGACGAGAAGGGATTAAAAACGGGACCATTTGATGATGTATCTCTCACCGGCTCCCCTTGCTTTCCTCTTTCCCAGGTTGTCGGCTACGTACGTGCCTGGGTGACACCCTGGGCCGATACGCCACCCCTAATGGGTACCACTGTGCGTAACACTTAACGGCGTGCTCCAGATCAGGCTGGCCCTGCCACGAGCAGAGGGAGGCATCTGCGTGAAGTATCTGGTGCTGGGGAAGGAGAAAGGCAGAAAAGGATGGTCTTCCGAAGGTGGTGGATGACGCCGTCCATGTGCTGAACAACCAGCCCATTGAGCGGCTGGCTTTTTTCTCCTCCAGCAACTCATGCTCTCTGGGCGGCTTGCACTCCAGGGTGGCCGCTGGGCTGTCGCCTGGCTTGGCAGTTTCCCCCCGAATGGGAGCCACTTGGTGATTCAGACCCTAACCCTGCCACCCACCTGCTGCAGGTTTAAGCTGAGCCTGCATTTCTTTTGAGTTTGCATTTCCTTTGCTGAGTCTCGTTGCCTGGCCCTGATCTCGCTCACTGTTAAAAAACCGGCAACAAAGGATGGATAGAGGCACTACTCAAAGGGAAGGCAGCCACAGAGGAACCGGCCTTTGAAGCCCAGTTTTCGGCGTCTCCGGCACTAGAAAGCGCAGGAGGAATCCTGCCCTGCCCTGGCACGCAGGTGGATCCCTCCCTCTTTGTAAGCCTCGCCGACTGGCTGTCCAGCCTCTGTGTCATGACGAGATCGGAAACCGAGCCGTGTAGCCGTGGGGAAGCCCGGCTTCAACCAGAATCTTCTGCGGCGCCGTTAATTTTTAAATTTATTTTATTTTATTGGATTTCTACCTCGCCCATCTAGACCAAAGGTCTACTCTGTGCGGCAAAGCGCTTCCCGGCCCGCCAGGCGGATGGTCCTGGTGGTTTACTAGGGCAAAAACGTCCGGAGGGCAAGAGGGTGGACTCTAGAGGGAGTGGGCATTTGCCAAGCCGATGTGGGCCCGTTTTAAGAGGACGGAGATGCATCGAGCAGAGTGTGAGCATTAGAGGCATTTAATGGATCCGTCAGATTCATCCAAGCTTGTAAGAAATGACGTTACTGCGTCAGACTAATGGAGGAGCTTCCC